GGGGGGTGTACTCATAGTCGTGCATGCCGTAGTCGTTAGACCATTGACGGGGGGGAGGGGAAGTAAATGAAACGAGAGGCGATAACGTTTTGTAGGAAGTCGGCGGAAACTCCGAAGAACGTTCCCCGCCTTCTTTCCGTGTATCACAGTACTCACACCGGCGACAGTGTGTCCATCTCCATACGTGGGCAAAAAAGTGGAGGGGCAGCGTAAAAACAAGCGAGGTGGGGGGGGGCTACTTGCCGCCACCGTCCGCGTAGAGGCAAAGCCTCATAAATTCGCTGCAGACCCCCCGGCATCAACGAACCTCTGTTCCTGATAGGACGTTATGTAGGCACGGCCATGACCGAAACGCCTCTGCGTCAAACGTGGGAATGTTTCTCGTGGCCAGCTTTACCGGTAGTAGGTACGAACAGGACCCGGGTTGCTGACTCCCGGCCACCATGTGTTTGGCGCTTTACGTACGCGTCGGGCTACAACAACAAAAATAGGACACCGCGAGCGATGCATATATCTGTACAACAGAACAGAACAGAGGACACCGTGTGCCATGAAAATAGCACTCTTTGCTCCACCCCGCTAACGCCAAAAACAATCTCCCAAGAACAACAACCTCAGAAGAGGCCAAGAAAAAAAGCTGCGTGTTCCTTTGCGAAAAAAAACAGCAGAATGACCGTCTCTTCTCGTCCCCCCCATGTTCTGTGAACCGGCGTTATCCTGGCAGCGGGGCCCGTGAATCGAAGCGGAAAAAAGGGGCCATCACCTGTGAGTTCTGAGGCAGGTACTCCGCCTCGGTAAAGCGAACCGTTGGGTCCTCGTCCACCAGGACACCCCACTCGTTGGTCCAGTTTCTGCCCCTGGCCCACGCCAGCGCGTCCTCGAGAGCTTTGCTGCTGTTGGTGCCTCCGCCTCCTGGAAGGAGGTCTTCCACGGCCTTTGGGAAAGTCCAATTTGCGAGGGGGACAGACGCGGCGCAATTATATGCATGGCCAAATGCTGAATGGTCTGTTCAGCTACCTGCCTGGTGTTGGTACAGATAGCTTCAAACCAGATGGGCCGCAACAACAGCAGATATTTCGGACAGTTTTTCACGGCGGCAAGTTTTGCCGTTCAACAGCCGTAGATGCATCGGAGTTGCCCCTCACATCTTGATATCCTTGGTCGAGTTGATCGAGCCTCCCAGACCCCTCAACAATAAGTCTTACGAGATCCTTCTCGTCCACGCCCGTCGCAGCCACCAGCCACTGTGGTCGATTGACGACCCCATGCCGTGTCAAAAACGTCGCGTACGGCAGAATGACAAGAGTGTTGGTGGGCAATTTCGCCTTGAGCTATGCATACTTCACCACAAGAGTTGAATCGGTACGGAGCAACAGGCAAAAAGGGCTAAGAACGTGTAACGCCCCAGTTTACGGTGGCATTCATTCAGAACAATGGCCGATTGTGTTTCCGGCAGCAGCAGCAGCAGCAGCAGCAGCAGCAGCAACAGTTTCTAACAGAACCTTCTTGCACCCCTCGCTCTCGCCTACATGACAACTCCACCGACACGATCTCCGAAAAAAGCGAAACATGTGCCCACGAAGGAGACTCCTATAAAAAAACATCGCAGCAAAAAAACACCCGTCATTTCTCTACTCTCCATGTTCGAGCTCTCGCAGAGATGCGTGTCGCACCTTTCGCGATCAACACAAATACCACAGCAGGGTTGGACAAACACGCTCGAACCTGGAGATCGAACTCCCCGCCCTCCGCCGGAATGACGTCATCGCCCACGATCTCCAGCGCCGACGCCAGCATCTCCGGGTTCTCCCGAAAGCTGTCCCAGTCTACCGTCAAGTTAACGGGGATGCGGTCTCCGAAAACGAAGGCGCCGTAGCGGGGGGGGCGGCCGCCGCCGCCGCCGTCCAACGGCGTTGTTGCTGCTGCTTCATCGGAGGTGTCAGTTTCGACGGACACATCGACGTCGTCCCCATCGTCCGAGGACGTGGTGATCATCCCGCCGGTGTTGTAGGTGTCGAGCATGAAGCGCGAGAGGCCGGAGCTGGTAGGGGCGGTGAGACCCGCCCCTGTTAAAATAGAAGCAACAATGGGGTATAGAGTAGGCCGTTCCGAAGGCTCGAAGACGTGAGAGTGGCGAGGGTAGAGGTGGGAGGTTCGGGTACCCATCGAAAGAAAAAGGCAGTGTGACTGATCGCCATGCAGCATTTTCATCGTCTGCCATGCCGACATACACCGCGAAAAAAGAACTGGATAGGCGGCGTGCCTTCCTCTCGAAATTGGAGCAGCGCTGGCAGTTTACTAATGACAGAGGACAAGGGGTTCGGCTGCTCGAAACTTACGTAGACCCCCAAACGAAACCCCCCTTCCGACGAGAAAAGTGCGTTCTGTAGTAAATCATTTCCGGCCGACACCACCAAGTTCTCAGGGTGATGACGTAGACAGGCCAAACCAAGGCCAGCATCTTCCAGCACGTGTCCCTAAATCCTCGCTGTAAACTTTCCTCAACACCCTCTGGACAATATCGAGAACGGGTAGCCCGTTTCGTGGTGTTCCGAACACTTTCTGAAAGTGAGGGAACAGTTTTCCTCAAGGAGATCTACAGACGTGCGCCTTGTACCTTCGTCTACTCGCGTCCAAGCCTCTGTCTCCCTGGCGACGTTGGCGAACGTATTCCCTTCGGGAAGCCCTTCGCCGTCGCCTTCGGTGTACAGCACCTGCGTGCGGTGAACCACGCACCAGTAAAAAAAAAAACACAGCGGAGACGCGATTCCGCACACAAACCCTGAGAGGTTAAGGCGTGTTCTCACGCGGGGTCCCTCCAGTCCGAACCATCATGACGTGTGTGGATGTGTGTGCGTGGTACTATGCTAGCGAGTCGCCTTTTTTTTTTTAGTTTGTCTTCCGTGAAATTCGTCTGCTATTTTTACCTGCTGCACAGAAAGAGAGCGCTGCCGTGGTGTGTGGTGCGCAGGTGTGGCGCAAGCTGCACGATGTTTAACTCTTCAAAAAAAAAAAAAAAGACCCACTAGGCTTCGTGATATTAGCGCCAGACGCTCCAAACCCTCTCATTCTCACGGCCACACCGCACGATAAGGGAACAAAACCAGCACCTCCTGCTATCTTGTCTGCATTCCACCTCACCCCTCGCTTCTTATCGCCAATTGACTGCGTAGCTCGCGTCAAGTGGTGGGAAACTCATGCAAATTTCTACTGTACACCGCAAGACAAAACCGAGAGAGAGACATGATTACCCACATACACGGATTTGTAGAGAGGTTTAGATTAAGCATGGCATTCAAGGGCAACACCCGTTCTTGGATCTATGCCCATGCCCCCCTTTCGGTGGTCGAGATGTCTACCCGAAGACACATAATGTCTTCTCATTGGTCAGCCCGATTAGCGTGGTCGATGCGATTGAATAATTGCACACACAGGCGTGCCGGGTTAGCCCGATGACTAGAAAGCATGTTCAAGCCGTCTATCCCGCTGTGTTGTAGAGACTAACGTCTGCTCGTTGATCAGCCGGATATATACGTAGCGCGGTCGATGCTACGCAATGGAACACTCAACTCACACCCACACGTGCCACGCAACACTCCTGGGAGCCTTCCCTCGCTCGACACCCATCTCGCCACGGAATCCCCCCCCCCCTCCACACATCCCGTCACCCCCTCTTCATAGAATTCAGCCCACCTGGGTAGGACTCCCGAACATCCCAGCGGACATGGCGAGCGACGGCCCAGCCAGCTTGACGTCGATGGTGAGCAGAACCAGGACGAGGGCAACCATCACGGCGGGCAGGACGATCTGATACAGACCCCCTCGCCAGTCCCGCTGGGCCACCACCCTCCTCTTCCACAGCAGCCAGCGCAGCTGCTCCCTCAGGCCCGCCCCCGCGGCGGCCCCTTTACCCCTGCCCTCACTGTGGGTCGCTGCGCCCCCCTCCCTTCTACCAGCAGACGAGCTGGTCGCCTCGGCTGCCTGTGCCGCCCCGCCGCCGCGCGTCGCGCCCGAGGGCGATTCTGCGTCGCCCCCGGGGCCGACGTCGTCCCCTTCGGCCTCCGCCAGGATGGAGGCAAGCTCCTCCTCGTCGCGGGAGAAGGCTGTGTAGCCAGGGGCGCCTCTCTTGCTCGCTCGGTCGTCGTGGTGGTTATTGCCCCCGTTGCCGTGGTGCTTCCCAGCCGGCGGCATCTGCTCGGCCTCCACCGCCGCCGCCGGTGCCATGCTCTGCATCTCGACCTCGCACACCTGTCCCGGTGCCGCGCTTGCCCACCCTTTGTCGCCACCGCCGGCAGCGTTCGAGTCTCGCCCGAAGCCTCGCCGGTGCCGAAGGCTTCGCCCTCTGCCGCGGCCTTTGCCAGGTACTCCGCCGCCTGCTGTCCCGGCGACCCCTTCCCCGAGCCTGAAACCGTCGCCGGCGGCGTGTTGTTGTCGCCCACCGTTGCCCTGGGCGGGATGGTGAGCGTCGGTCATCTTACCCTCTCTCTCAAGACTGAGAAAGACCTGATAGGGAGGTGAGCCGGGTTGTCGAGAAGACAGGTGTTTTACTTAACCAAAACGGATGGATCGGACACCATAAAAAGAAGGCTTCAACACACCCCTTACCGAAACATTATCTCAAACGGGTAGCCTTTCTGTGGTTATTTGTGAAATCTAACAACGACACGAAAGTATCTGTGGTTGTAGCCAAACAAAAAAATGTTCCCGGAAAGGACAACATTTTACGATGCAATCAGAGACCGCTGTAAAGACCAAAGATCACGATCGGAAACTGCCCTCTGTTCACGCCCCCGGGCACGGAGCCCCAGAGAGGCGCACCCACCTCTTCCAGGCTGGTGATCGAAACGCCGTAACCCCCGACTCCCATCGCTTCCCTCCCGGCCTCCAGGGCTCGGAACAGACCGGGAAATTTCTGAGACTTTCCTCGGGGCAACCTGAAAGAAATCTCGCCGCCCGCGGCGGAGAGCATCTCGGCATCTTCGACATGCGAAAGAACCAGACTAGTCAGGCTGTTGGGCTCGAACGATTCCTCGGCCTTGACGAGGGTCAGCTTGTAGCCCAGACCGAACCTGATAGGAAAATTCATGACAACGTGCGAAAGCGGCGAAGATTGTTGGCTTGTCCCCCACCGGTTATTTTTCGCTGGGTGCGGGGGTGTCTAGAGTTGAAAGCCTAGGGATGACGTGTTGTATGGCGAATGGCGCGTGGAGTGTCGATGGAAGCAGAAATACCACCGAGCAATTTTTTTTTTGGTGACATTTTGAAATCAAAGCATCGCCGTCGTAGTTACCGCCCTCCGGATTTCCAAGCCATACCATGAATGCATTGCTCTTCTACCCAAAACAACGGGAAAAAAAATCACAACTCCCTCTACCCCACGCAACAGCCTTGGGAGTCAAGACCCAAGCACGGAATACACACACAAAAAAAGAATAGCAAACGAATTTGAACAAGATGCGTTACTATAAACAATAGCATGTCGTTCTCTCTCACCGGCTCTTGAGGAACAGAGGGCTCCCAGCGCATCTAAGCTCCCCCTTTCGCAGAATCGCCACCCTGTCCCCGAGGTGATCGGCCTCCTCCATGAAGTGGGTCGAGAGCAAGGTGCACCTACCCGCCCGCCCTCTCCGCAGCAGGTCCCACGTGAAGCGCCTGGAGTACGGGTCCATCCCTGAAAGCAGCGTGCATGACCACAGCAGTACCTACGGTGAGTCGGAAGCTAGTATTTGTTCTCGAGTGTTGTGGACGTCTTTTAGAGTAGGTTGTACCTTGTTGAGCTGTTTTCACCGAAACTCGCTTCTTCATATTTTAGAGAGCAGGGAGGGCGTTCAGAGGCCTGGCGATGCCTCATGTCCAACTAAAGTGCAACGACGAGGAATGGCACAAACACATTATGCTCGTATGCCAGCCAATCTCCCTTGGCCACCACCCATTCGTACAGCACGTGAGCAGCATGGAACATACCCCCGCCATCGGCAACCGAGCACAGTCTCGCTACTCTGAAAAAGAAGAGGCACGACCCCTACCCTCACACAACCTGGGTATAACCACACACGAGCTTATACGCCAGGAAGGTGTTGGCCTGTTTTTATCTCGCTACATATCGTCCCCCCTCTGACAATGGCGTGTTTTCATGTTATCAGACGGATAGCGCGGTCCATGCCTACTAAGGCAGACACCCACACATAATTTGACTATCCCGCAGAAAAAGATTGACGCAATTTCGTTGGTTCAGCCGGTGAACGTGGTCAACGCTAACAGCAAATAAACTCACGCGCGCTCACACACGCGTTGCTAGTAGCCGCACACATAGTTGGCCGATTAGCACGGACGATACCAATTCAAGACACACACACGTGCACACATACACGCAGGAGAGCCAAGAGCCTTCCCTCCTCTTACCAGAGGTAGGCTCGTCCAAGATGCAGAGAGCGGGGGAGCCCGTCAGGGCCAGCGCGACACTGAGCTTCCGCTTCTGCCCCCCCGAAAGGTTCATGGACGGGGTGTGCTCCTTCTCCAGCAGGCCCACCTCCCGGAGCTTCTTCGTTACCAGGGGCCTGGACGAGCAACCATACCGTCCATAAAAAAAATACCTCTTTTGGTGTTTGTTGTGGCAAAGATTACAGCAGCAGCAACAACAACGATGACGACAACAACACACATAAAATAAACAACAGATCGGTTATGGGTATTCATCCCGCGCAAGGAGGCTTCCCGTTATCTCGGCTGGTACCGTACTTGCCGCGAAAGCAGGGGAGGGCACAAGAACAATCATTGACGCGGCCACTCTTTTCTCCCTGGTGGGATTAAGGCTAACAACAACGTCTTCTGTCGTGAGCGCACTTGCGGCCGTCTCCCTCACCCCTTGAGGTCTGGCCTGATGCCCTTGATGTCCATGTACATCTCCATGTGTTCCCGCGCGGTCAGCAGCGGCATGAGGGCGTCGTGCTGGGGACAGATGCCGATGCTCTGCCGAACCTACGCATCATCCACCAAGTGCAACGATAAATTCTCACCAAATAGGCAACAGACAGACATGAACATATTGTTTTCATTCCTCCAGACAGAGAGGCAGGCCCAGACAGACAGAACGTATCAAACAAGCCAGATCCGGGTGTAGGAGCTGTCCAGGAAAAAAGAAAAAAGTGACAATGTGGTGCTGTACTACCACACATGTGTGTAGTAGGAGGGAAAGGACATTCTCGGAACACCCTTCTCGTGACAGCCTAAGGCATGCGGCAGAGGAACTACTTGAATCTTTCGTGTGCCACCTCTGGCTTGTAGATCTGGCTCCTGAGCAGAGACAGGCGCGTCCTCTCGTTCGGTAGATCAAAAGGTAAGATACCGCGGCGGGTAAAACAAATCTTCGGGGCGGGGGGAAGGGCGGGACAAATACCACCATGAGGGCGACGAGACAAAGCGGCAGCACGCAGGCGGTGCAATAGCGTGCCCGTGGGGTACACACACAAACCTTGTGCAAGTTGTCCCTCACGCTAAGCCCCCACACGAGGGCATCTCCGCTGGTGGCCCCCAGTTGCCCTGTGAGCATCGAGATTGTCGTCGATTTTCCTGGGCAGAACAACGAACGGGGGGGGAGGGGGGGAGTCACAGTACCGCTGCGTGAGCGACGGCGATTTCCGGTCTGGCAAAGAAAATTTAACAAAAAAACGGCAGGAGGAAGGTGCGGGATAGCGTTGCTGGAGGTACACTTGTGTTGTAGCTGCTGGGCACCAACAACTAGGGTAGACCATGGGTGTGAAAAGTGGAGCTTGAAATAAAAAAAACGATATGATCCGGAGTGTGAAAAGTCGCCCTCAAACACAAAAAAAACGATGTACTCTAGCAGCAGGAGGTCCGCTATTCGGCGCGTCGCTACGGCAGCTGCCAAGAAAATCGTGCCCTCCTCCGCGGCAAGGCTAGTGCGAGAACAAGAAACTGCTTCGTTTGCGAAACCAAATATTTCAACCCGAGCATGCAGAATGCGCATCTCTTTAGTTGCTTCACACCCAACAAGAGCGCCGCCGCAAAAGAACCAACCCTCACCGGCCCCGTTGTGCCCGAGAAGGCACGTGATGTCTCCCACCCGCAACCGCAGGTCCAGCCCCGCAACCGCCACCTTACCGCCGAACTCTTTCCTCAACCGCTTGATTACGACGCCCTCCCTTCCCCCCTCTGCTTCACCCCCCAGTGGCTCGAAATCGGCGGCGCCCCCGTCCACTTCCACCCCCCCTCCCCGCGGCCGCCCCTCCTCCGGCGATGGAGCGTCGTTCCCGTTATCCCGGTCGGTCTGTGGGACGGGGGCCCACCCGCGGGAAGCAAAACGCGCCGGGAAACCGTACCGCGAAACCCACCGGAAGGCGGCTCGTGGGACGGACGTGAGGGCCTCGAGCGGGTCGCGAGAAGTACCGAACTCCGGGGTTACCACCTTTCGCGTGTGGCAACGGGAGGGGACGAGGGGGGGGGGGGGGG